TTATACGTTCCTCTGTACTTCGAAAGCTAGAAAGCTAAGGTAACTGAAAACCGTAAGGAGTGCAGTAAATTTGAAATGCAAACAATACAAAACTGAAAAAAGGAAACGTTATGTGTACACTCTTTATTTTTTTTTGGTTACAATGTTTTTTTTGTTACAGTGTACACTCTTTATTTGAAAAAGCATATTGTGCAGGAAAGAATGATTGGAATATAAATCTAGCTGCATACTATCAAACATTTTACTAAAGCATGCCCTGTAAAATTTTGTTTGTAGAAAGATAAACTCAAACTCTCATCAAATGTGGTTTACTACTACTCATACCTTCTAAGTTTGTCTATTTACACATGTATACGTCCTCCTCCAAATGGCATTATTATTTACTAGCTTAGTATGCCACCCGTGCGTTGCACGGGATGTAATTTTCGAAGCATTATGTGTGTGTACTTTAGTTCATGGATCACGTTGAGATTGAGACCGAGCGTAGACATGCCGTTTTAACGAATAGAGTTTCACATTTAATACCTGCTAACCCTGACTCAAGCATAGACCCATTATTAATTTTTATAAATAAGGAGTAATTCATATCCTTTACATGTATCTTCGACCTCTTTAGCACATGTACCATTATCAAAGTTTAGAAGGAAGGGATTTGAGTTGTTCAGCAGAATCTCTTAAATGGAAGTCCAAGATAGAGTTCTATAGTACATTCCGGATCGGGTCTACCCCTAAACCTAATAACCTATTGTATTAAGGACCTAAACATATATAGTCACACAAATATAACCTTCTTTTTTCTTTTTAATGAGAAATTCTTTCAAAAAATGTATAGTGTATATTCTTTATCCTTTTAAATAATGTGATTTTACTGAATTTGGCACTCGTTGACCCACCCCGGCCACCCGTACATCCAAGCCTTGTCTCAAGTTGTGTCCTCAACTCCTCAAGCAACCTATTAAAGATGATCACCTCAAACGTTTTTTTGGGCTATAAGTTGAGAACACTAAGATTATAAGTAATGAAACTATACAGTACTTGGCACACACATATTCTTTTACAGAACTTTAAGAGTTTTACAAATAAAATGAAAAATACATAAACACAGAACGAATGAAGAGATGCGCAGAAAAGTAGATCCCTTCAACTTGTTTAGGTTTCTATGTTTGTGCTTCCCCTTCTTTATGGATTCACGCACCAGGAGCTTAGGACAATAGATTGATAAGTAATTGTGTATCATTTTGCAATTCATAAATACAAAATACACTCCTGATAAGATTAATAATGGAAAAATAGTCATTTCAATTTTCTTTCTTGAAGAATTAAACATTTAACTTGTGCATCCAAAACTTGTAAGGATCCATTTGGAGAAGTCCTTGGACGCCTTGGAGAGTCCGCAGAACTAAGAATACACAAAAATTCAAAACAGTTAGACAACTTATATGACTATACCTATTGTCTATACTATTTTAGAATATAGTATAGACAATAATGAAAAATAGATTAGGATGTTGCACCATGTTATCACTATCGAATCAAATAAAGTTATCCCTATTCAAAATAGTGGAAAATAGGAACTCCCACATATACGAAAGGGTGATAGAGAGAAAAGCTTTAAGGATTTGAAACTAAGTTCTTACTTTCTATATGATATAGGTTGGTCTTGTAAAACACAAAACCCGTTTTTTCTATCGTTGTAACAGTTGATTGAAATTCATAAATAGACTAAGAAAGCTGTTTATTCTCTTGTTGAAATAATAATAGCAGCTTTTTTTAAATCTGCACAAAAATTAACAATAATAGTAAGCCATAGTAAAAAAGAAAAAAATATACAGAAATGAGCATTGCGGTAGTCTTGAAAAAAGAATTCTGAAAAAGAAGTTGGGCTAAGACCTATATAAGACTACATGATGGTGCATATAAGACTGAATAGTACATAAAGGGCCTTCTGTTGAGCTCAAGTTTATCATTTTTAACACTGCATTTCCCTTCCTAGAATAAGAACTTGCAACCCTTGATGAGTTCATGGAGCATAATTCTCATATAGAGTACCCAGTGGCATCAGATGCCTTGATTAAAACTAATGTCAATATCCTATATGAATCAAATGTTGTAAGTATAAAAAACTCGTCTGCTCTTATTTAGCTAATTACACTAAGTATGCTCTATCTTTCCAGGATTAATTTCTATTAAATGAATCTTATCTCAGTCATGTTTCATGGCATTGACTCGGTCTCAACAAAGTTTCATCAATGTTTAAAGCAACTTAAAAAAATAAATAGCATCTCCATTGAGTTAAGTGTGAAACGCAAATTCAAGACAAATCTTTGCTAATGAAAATAGAGGCTTCATTGACTAAACTGTGAGCTGCAAGCTCAGGTGTAAGTATGCTGTTTTCAAACGGAAAAATCACATTTAATTTCAAACTGAAAAGTACTCATTGAGAGTACATACTTTTAAAATAATTGGAAAGCATTTCAATCAGTTAATAGAAGATTTCAAATATACCATAGAAACAGTTTATAAAATTGATAAATTGAAAACAAACCTGTTTTTCTCTCATTCAAAGAGTTGATTAAAATTGATAAATCGAATAAGAAACCCGTTTATTCCCTCATTGAAATTGCTCAACAATATCAAAGTATAAAAATTAGGGAAAATGGAAACTAATAATCCAACCTTTTAGCGGTCTTCTTACAATAATCCAACCTTTTGGTTATTCATGAATAATCCAACCTTTGCACCTCATCTTCATTCACTGGTCCCTGACCGATTGATGACCTGCTATTCCAAACTATTTTCTTATCTTTGCAAATCATTATACCATAAATCTCATCTTTCACAAAGATAATATTTTGCAAAGATAAGAAAATAATTTGGAATAGTAGGTCATTCACCGACCAGGGACCAATGAATGAAGATGAGGTGCAAAAGTTGGATTATTCATGAATAATCAAAAGGTGGGATTATTGAAAGAAGACCGCTAAAAGGTTGGATTATTAGTTTCCATTTTCCCTAAAAATTACAGGTAGAAGAGTTCTTTTATGTATAAGATTTCGAATATACCATAGAGCATCCCCAATGGGGATGTCTACTTTCTTTACACACTCTTACACATGGCCCCATTTTTTATCTCACAAATTTTATGTGTAGGACCTACATATCTTCACATTTATTTTATTTTTCATTTTTCTATATCACTTTTAACCCACTTTTCATCCACATTCACTCATCGATTCCCGTGTAAAGTCTATTTGTGGACATTGTCATAGACATTCTCTACAATTTACTCCTATCTCTCTCTTCCTTTTCATTTCTCATACACACCACTTTCTTCATATTAAATTAAAATAATCATTCTATCTATATCTCTCTCCTATGCCACGTAGGATAGACATTACTCACATCCACTATCCCATTGGGGATGCTCTAAGATTGTAAAGTGAAACCCGACCTGGAGAGTAATTGCCGAAGCTGACTTGGATGGCGGGTGACAGAATAAGGCGGCTAAAAACTGAAGCGACAGGCTTTGTGAAAGAATACAATGAGCAGATCTGCGAGATTACGGTGACGGTAGAAGTGAACGAAGAGTATGGCTGGGAAAAGAGGCTAAACAAACGGTGGAGATGGGGTTGAGCGGATGATTGGGATGTGTGTAAGTTTAAGCGGAAATACTGTAGAATGAACAGTAAAAACTTGTATCGGTTTTATGTATGTATAGAATAGAATATAGATAAGTGCTACATTCTTTTTAGTACCACTTTTTTACAAAAAAATAGTCACCCATTCAACCTTTAAAACTAATAACTCCTGAACTCCTCCTTAGAGTCATCCAACTTTGTAAAACAACCAAAGGCTAAGATCTTTGTCTGTACCCTACTAAAATTATATTACATGATACTCAGAGTCGTATATAGTCATAGGCTCAGGGGGTAAAAAATCTAAGATCTTTTAAACTAAAGCTTAACTACTTAAAAAGGAAGGGCCAGGTATGCTTCAATCGCATTTAAGTTGTCTCTGAAATATTGATTTTATTTGATAGGTGGACTATAGTGCAAAGATGATTATCTATTTGCTGCACTCAAAAACAATTGAGATCACTCTATAAGTCTTATTCCTCTACTCTCAAAATCATTTCGTATATAAAGGGTCAGTTTAGTCCTCGAAGTTGCAAAAAAGGCGCCAAATAAGTCCTTATATAGAAGATTCTGTCCGGACGTGCCTTTTGAGGTGGCTCCCGGTGGAATTTTGTGATAAATATTTTTTAGCATCTTATTTATTAAGTCTAGTTTACTCATACCAAATTTCAACTAAAAATTCAATCGGAAAGACATTCAAATGAATTCTTGAAGATAACAGCGCTTTTAACGGCACAGTTATCTTCAAGAATTCATTTGAATGTCTTCCCGATTGAATTTTTATCTGAAATTTGGTAAGAGTAAACTAGACCTAATGAATAAGATGTTCAAAAAATTTCATCAAAAAATTCCACCGGTAGCCACCTCAAATGGCACGTCCGGACAGAATTTTCTATATAAGGACTTATTTGACTCCTTTTTTGCAAGTTCGAGGACCAAACTGACCCTTATCCCGTCATAATATTATTGATACAGCTTTGTATATTTTCTGCACAGAAGGAATCAGCTTCGTTCACAACATAACTTTTTCTCCAAATCTTCTTGGTATCTAAAAAATCTTGTGAGGGTAAACTATGCCTGATAAATTCATCTTCAAAGAAAATACATATGTTCATAAGATGTGATTGGAATTATAGAGAACATGAAGATGTACTTGCTAAGATTAAAAGAGGCCTAATTTTCTAAAAGATGTTATAGAAGATTAAAGAGCAATTTAACAGGTAATCTCATATATAGGGCGGAATCTGATGCCCGGAATGTGAGATATCTGTGTTTGGTTTGCGGGTTTGATTTTTTTGGGAATGTTAGATCCCCAAAAGTGTAAAAAGTAATCAGATGCCTACTAAATAAAGAGGAACATTCCTAATTTAAGTGACTAATCCAAATTGACCAAAACTTTGTTTAGAATATACTGACCATTTTTACAGTTGTTTAACATTCCTAATTTAAGTGAAGCATATAAATATAGTTTAGGGTTAATACTGGATATGTTTTAATACATTATCACAATTGTATATATATACATATAAATAAGATTAGTAAACATGATCTTTGCATATGAAGCTTGAAGTTTCTCTTTGTCATAACATGTGGGCTGTGACAGAATCAATAGATATGATTCATAACTTGAGTGGTCAATATCATCCTGCTGGTGAAAATAGTTACCCCCTGCTGCCCTGCATTTGGAAAGACCCCATAGAGACAAATGTTTACAAACAAAGGCAATCAAGAATACTGGAGTACAGGTCAAATGGCAAAGTCATTGGTACTACTAAACAATAAAATCGTACAGGTAACATACTACCTCCGTTCTCTTTTAGTTGCAACGTTGGACTTTTTGCACTATTCATACATTCTACTTTGACTACATTTTATTATTTGATGTATTATAAATTAAATTTTTAAAAAATATTGTTAAATTCTTCTCATTCTAAATTTTTAAAATATGAATTTTTTAAATTTTTTACTAATACGGAATGAAAGATATTAATGGTCAAACTTGTGCGTTGACAAACGTGAAATGTTGACTGTTGCAATTAAAAAGGAACGGAGGAATTATAACATATTTTATAGTTATCACATACTCCGTATTTAAAAAAATAGCAGACATGTGTGAAATTTTAGCAAAAGATAATTGATTGAAATTTTTTAACAAACACGTTCCAAACAGAGTATTTATTCAAATTCAGCCTAACGTTTTGAAGTAAATGCATAAATTAAATAAATCAACAAAGGAATACAAAGAAACTGAACTTGGAAATGTTTAAGTATACCATATGGGTGTGAAAATAACAATCATTTATGCAAAACAATAAGTAAAAAAGATAACACTGACCTAAGGATGTGGTGGGACATCCAAAGAAGCTGTAGTGAGCAGCTGTGATGAGGAAGACGGGAGAAGGAACCATGTCCACAATTGAGAACTTTAGTGTAAATCCATTGAAAAACCAGGAAATCTATTGAAATAGTAATAATGAAGCCATATGGAGCTAGTGTGAACGATATGTTTTGTCAAATTAACTAAAACGAAACAGAATTTGTAAATTGGGATGCCTGCTAAACTGAAAGTATATGAAGTTGGAAAAATTTTGAGGGCGACAGTAGGCAGCTACAGATGGAGATGAAGTTATCAGATGTACCTGGATAGAGATGATGTGCCTGAATAGAGATGGCGCGCGATTGACCAGGATGAAGGCGGGTGTACGTCGCTGGAAGGAGACACTGCAGATGGAGAAATTGACATGAAGGCCGGATGGAGAAGAGAGAAGATGGTCAAGAGTAGAAGGCGAGTTGAAGGATTTGACGGAGATTGACCTGATGGGGAAGATAGACGATGGAAACGTGATAAAGCCCGAAGAATTGGATGGAGAAAGATGTGGATGCAGATGGCGGAAAATGGTGAGGGCGAAGGAGATGAAGGGCGAGAGATTTGTTTACTCGTACGGTGCAGATGATAAAATGGGTTAGGCGGGATTTCTGTAGCATGAACAGTAAAGTACTGTAGCATGAACAGTGAATATTTGTATTGCTTTGATGTATTGATTACCCATTGACACCTGAAAACATTTTGGAGTTCTGAATATATAAAACATAACTATGGGTAAGCATCTTTTGAAAAATAACTATTGATAAATAATTAAATACCAAGTAACAAACCACCATATTGTCTATGGATTAATGATGATGCTTTATGATAAATAGATATTCTATGAGATATAATGAAAATAATAATAACATAATTACGAAAATGCCACCGTTTTTTGTTGTGATATCAGTTTTCTTGTAATAACACGGTACTCATTATTAGACGCTTAATACTCATCAAAATTAGACTATTTCTCATTAATAATACACAAATGCTCATTTAACAGAAACCGCGATTTTTACATTAATTACAAAACTGCCACCAAATTATTTTTCTATTTTTCCATTGGGCCTGTAACTTGGCCGGCTGTACGGTGTTCACCGTACAGCCGGTGGTACCATATACGAACTCGTTTTACATGATTTTTTGTACATACACCATAGAAATTTATTTACATAATGTACACAATTTACTCGGTATATTTTATTATAAAAAACCAAATGATTTTAATACGTTTTTCAACATTTTCATGACATTCTTCGTAAGAAAAAAAACATCTTCATGACATTCAAATTAAAATGTGTAATTCCCTCTTTTACTAATTTGAGAATTAGACTTGGTCAAAAAACTTCTTCCCTTTGGGTAATGTATCACAAATTAGAGTTAATACCACTTTTAATACAGTATGTATTTAGTACCCGTATTAAAAGTTAATACCACTATACCGAAAAAGTCAATTAGACCCTCGTACTTTACAAACACTCAATTAAGTCCTTGAACTATTAAAAAACGTTCAATTAAGCCCTTTCGGTCGGTAAGTAACTGGTTTCCCGGTTAAATCTAACCCGTTTCCCGGCAGCCGCCATTGCTGAGGTTCGAGCACATCGTCGCCATCGTCGCCATTTAACCGGGGAAAACGGTTACTTACCGACCAAAAGGTCTTAATTGAACATTTTTTAATAGTTCGAGGACTTAATTGAGTGTTTGTAGAGTACGAGGGCCTAGTCGAATTTTTTCGGCATAGTACGAGGACTTATTTGATAGTTTTCCCTTTAAATTTCTAACCCTGGCCTCACATTTTTCTTACCCACCATTTTTCTCTTTAATGTGGGGGGTAGTTTTTTTTTTACATAAATACGGAGTAGAAATTAAGAACTCTGTGTCTCTGATTTCTTGCAGTATATGGAACTATGGAAGACTAAACAAAGGAATGCCTAGTCAACGTCACATGTAAGGGCAATACATCTTCACTTAGGAGGCGTTTACTTCGCTGCTAAAGTCACAGTTAGGTTAGTAAGACAGCTGAAGTAAACACGCACGCTGCTTAAAAAGCCGCTTACTAACCGAAATAGGTGCTTAAAGTGCCGCTTACTAAGCCTACCACACCCCCATGTATTAATTAAGCGGCACTTTAAGCTTTTTCAGTTTCCGAATTTACCCCTTGCCCTTGCCCTTACCCTATTGTTACCCCTGACCCACTACCTACCGACCCCACCTTGACCCCAACCCCACCTACCCCACCCCTACCCTACACCTTCTATCCCGACCCCACCCTACCCTTACCCTTACCCCACCCCTACCCTTACCTACCCCACCCCTACCCTACCTAACCGACCCCCACCCTACCCTTACCCCACCTTACCCCTACCCTACCCCATCCTACCCCTACCCGACCCCACCCTACCACTACCCTACCTACCAGACCCCACCCCTACCCTACCTACCAGACCACAAACCTACCCCACCCCTTACCCACCTACCCAACCCCACCCTACCCCTACCCTATCCGACCTCACCCTACCCCTACCCTGACCCTACCCCATACCCCGCCTGAACCCCACCCTACCTACCCGACCCCACCCTACCACTACCCCACCTACCCAACCCCACCCCTACCTTACCTACCCGACCCACCCTACCACTACCTGACCGCAGTCACCCCACCATACTCTTACCCCACCTACCCCATCCCACCATATACCCCGACCCCACCCTTTACCCCCACCCTATACCTAGGGTGGTGGGGTTGGGGTGGTGGGGTCGGGGTGGGGCCAATGTGATAGAGGCACTAGGGGCAGAGTAGGTGCGGTGGGGTCGGGGGTAGGGTTGCGGCAGAGTGGGGTCGGGTAGGGTAGGGGTAGGGTGGGATTGGGTAGGGTAGTGGTAATCGGGGTAAGGTAGGGTAGGGGTAGGGGCGGGGTTGGGGTAAGGTAGGGTAAGGTGGGGTCAGGGTGGGGTCGATGCGGTAAGGGGGTATGGGGGTAGGGGCCTATGGGGTAGGGGGTAGGGTCGCGGTAGGATGGGATCGGGTAGGGGTAGGGTCGGGTAGGTAGGGTAGGGGTAGGGGTAGGTGGGGTCAGAGTAAGGTAGGGTGGGTAAGGGGTTAGGGGGTATGGGTACACATTTATATTATATACTTGTGTTCATGAATGTTTGTGTGTGTATATATGTATAGGGTTATTTTGGACATTTTAATGTTAAGCGGTGTTTTAAACCGTTTGAAGTAAACACAGTCTTACAACATTGTTTATTTTATGCACCGCTTATTAACACGGGTCTTAATAAGCACCGTTTAATAACCGGTGAAGTAAACGCCTCCTTACGCTTGCTTAATACGAGTACAATAAATAATACCTCTTCATCCTCACGCATAAAAGGCACGCCGCTTCAGAGAGCAATGACGCTCTTTTGTGCAATCTCTAGTGACAGGGGCATACTCATGTTGGGGGTTCTGAATATTTTTTGGGGGCCGAAATTATTTTTTGAGGAGAGAAAATTATTTTTCTTATGTATATGCACTAAATATAAATTTTGTTGGAGGTGCGGTAGGCCCCTGGGTCTGTACTACGGTCCGTCCCTGTCTAGCGATGAAGAAGATTTTGCTGGTCAACGTCGGATATTGAAGCAATTAACTCTTCAGTTTTCACTTCTCTATTTATTTAGCTTTAAATAATTTAACACAAGGGACTTGCTGAACATTGTGAAGCTTAACTCTATCAGCTATACGCGGACACATTTGATGACGAAAATCAAGTATGATTATTCCTCATCCTAAAATTATTGTCACGACTCCTCTTTGTACGGACAACTACTTCAGTTTTGACGATAAGATTTCTTTTACTATTATATTAAGATTGACTAGGGTCTCGAAAACAACACTTGAATGGATTTCGCGGTTCCACATGCTAAACTTTACTTATTTTTGCTATGTTTTGTTTGCTAATCTATATTTTGTTTTTATTAGGTCAATTAACAAGGGTGGTAGATTTTTAGATTGATTTACCTTAGTTGCTAGATTTCTGTTGAGACTTGAGATACAATCAAATTGACTTAGCCCCTAATAGCCTCAAAGACTCAAATCTCTCACATTTTCAGCGAGTAGTGTCACTCTTTTTGGAGTGGACTACTCTAAGTCTGATAAAGAATTTAGGGAGGCAATGGGCTTATGGTTATGTTTGTTTAGAGGGAGGTTAGTGCCAAATGGTTAGTTTATTGTTTGCAATTCTCCTGAATGTATTGCGAGTTTTGATTTAATATAATATGCAAGTTTCCAATAAAAAAACATTTTAGGACAAAATTTTCTTACTAGTTTTCATGAAGATGAAGAGAAATAAAGAAGAAACGAATACCATAAAACATAGGACAACACAAAAACAAAACATAAAGCACAAATGCCTATTTTGAAATTCAGTGCTATCCACGTATGTACTTGGTACAAATTTCCTCGTATGCTATTCAAAAACATGCAAAGCCAATGTTTTCAAGCTCAAGCTCTACTTTGTTGAGCTTCTCGGTATTTTATCTAGCTTAGGCAAGGAACTGAAGGAACAATGACGAATGCATGATCGATGGAATATCTTCTTTACTATCATGAAATGCAGTAAGCTGATCACACGTAAGCCAGAGCATGCATTAGACAGAATAATCAGTAATGGGACATTGGGACAAAATAAATTTAGTTGATCAACCCAAATACACAGTGGGACAAGCTAATGATGCAATTGGTAATAAAAGAAGCAAATAAAAAAGAACACCAGCGCTAAATCTCATGCCATCAGTATTTAGACATTATCAAAGAAATAGAAAGAGATAATTATCAAAGTTAGACATTAGATACACATAAAAAGATCATGTTTTCAGCAATGGATCCTCAAAGTCTACATATTTAGAAAACCAAAAGCTCACAGGCACTGCTTCAAGAGATCAAGAGCTTTTAGGAATTCCTCCTTCAAGAACTCTGTTTGGAGGAAGGACATAATTTACAGTTACAGCCACAGCAGCTTCCTCGGGTTGCAGGTATATCTTACATTTGACGTACGTATCAATCCGCTGTGAGAAAAAAGGAGAAAGATAAAGACACCTTGTAAGTTAAGCCAATTAAATGATGGAATCAGAATTCAGAAAGTTTCAAAGATCCATTCCAGTGAGTGGTTTCAAAGTTTCATTGCAGTTTGTTGGACTGTTGGCGGCCAATAGAAGACATTTAAGGCAAGGTTGTCATGTCACAAGGTGACAGTTATGGCGCAGGGGCAATTTGCCATGGCAATGGCGATGGGGATGCGGATGGGGATGCCATGATACACTAAAACTAACAAGTATAGATATGACCTATAGACAAGACAGTTGTATGACTTAACCACAGATTAAAGAGTCGAGCAACCATAATAGTACTAAAAGATATTGAAATCAAACCAATTTAATAACCATAACAAATTCATGTCTTGCAGAAAGTGAATTTAAAGCTTGGAGGGCTGTTTTCTTATCTGCAAGGACCAAGTCAAATTAACCTAGTGTTGCAGTGACTCGCTTCTACAAGTTGCATGTCAATAGAAGTTGCATTCCAAAGCACCAAAAACCCTTGTGCTTCAGCCTTTGACAATGCTCCCATGCATACACACTTGACATTCTGAGAAATGAAAACATCAAATTGTCAACACAGTAACTGAATAACAAATATACTGTAAAACTAAACAAATCACATTAATCAAACACAAAGCATTATTCAAACATAAAACCTTAAAAATAAAACTGGAGTACTCGACACACTGTACCTAACTAAATATATTGTCAAACTAAACAAAAAAACATTAACCAAACATAAAACAGACATAACACTAAAACTCTAAAACACTGTCATAAGCCTAAATGATACTACGCATAAAAGTTTAAAACTAACACAAAAGTACAGAAAAATGAAGTGATAAAACTGACATCAAATTAATACTATAAATCTATTATACATATTTCAATAAACAAAATATACAGTATTCTTATACAATTAGTCACTTATACACAAAACAATAATCACCATCATCATTACCCCAGTGCCACAAAGGCTCCCACCTACAGTGTGGAAAGGGGAGGTAGGATGTACACAACCATACCCCTGTACTAAAAGAACAGAGACACTGTTTCTGGATGATCCATTGTGAAAATCACGTCAAAAATTGCATGAATGTGACTACTGCTTAATAACAAAGAAGCGCAAACAGTTTAGTGAGTCATTGTGCTTCACTTCATCATATTCCTAAGCCAAAAAATTGTCAATCTTTGGCTCCAATCTAGATGGTGATAATATACATAATATAATAATATAAATAGCAATATATGATATAGGAGGGCTGTTCCTGTACATATGGATGTACGGGGGGCTCCGTACGGACAAAGCCATTAGAGGCCCTTCCGGGTGGAATTTTTTGATGAAATTTTTTGAGCATGTTCTTCATCAAATCTAGTTTATTCATACTAAATTTCATCTCAAAATTCGATCGGGAAGGCAGTCAAATAAATTCTTGAAATATACTGCACATTATATGTGCGCAGAATGCGCTATATATTTCAAGAATTTATTTGACTGCCTTCCCGATCGAATTTTGAGCTGAAATTTGGTATGGATAAACTAGACTTGATGAAGAACATGCTCAAAAAATTTCATCAAAAAATTCCACCCGGAAGGGCCTCTAATGGCTTTGTCCGTACGGAGCCCCCGTACATCCATATGTACATGATCATTCCTCTAAGATACAGTATACATGCACCTAACATACATTATAAAATACTCCGTAAGTATGTAATATAAAGCATATATATTCATAGCATACTTACATGCACAATAGTACAACATACATTTTAAGTATAACGACATACGGAGTACATAAGACATAAAGTACATCATATATGTGTGTAGAACATATACATAATACACAATTTTATATAAGGATTAGAAGCATGTGTGTGTGTATTCAGTTATAGACTTACACACAAAATAGCTGGAAAAAAGTAATAGTTACCTGTGTGACGGTGTCTTTTCTTTGTGGAAGCACAGCCCCGAGTTGTAATGTTAGAGATTGTTGGGTGGTCGTGGTTTCCGCGCAGGTGGTTGCTGGTCGCTGGGCGGTAGTCAAGAGAGCTCTGGACGGTCGTCGAGTGGGCATTGGGTGGTAACTGGCCATTCAGATCTCTTACAGAGTTACAGCCCCCGTTATTATTCTTTGATGTTATTAGCCGTTAGCCCGCAATTCTCGTTGCCGATAAGACTCACGCACACGTGAGACGATCTTAGAACGTTTTTACCTAAGTAGCACCAGTACGGAAACGGAAACGGGGACGGGGAAACTCTAATGTCAAAATATCAAGATACGGGTACGGCCTAAGTAGCACCGGTACGGAAACGGAAACGGAAACGGGGACGGAAACGGGGACGGGGAAACTCTAATGTCAAAATATCAAGATACGGGTACGGCAAGGAAACGGCGAACTAAAAATTAAAATTTTACTAATACATAGGTAATGTTTACGTCCATCAAATTTTACTAATATATAGGTAATGTTTACAAAATGTACATTATCTATATTTTACTACGTAGTAATGTATAGGTAATGTACAATCCACATACATAATAAATAAAAAGAAAAAGCAAATGTTTTACCAAATTCGGCCCATTAAATAAGACCAGCAAGAAATACGGAGTAGGAAACAAGCCCCACCCAAATCCCCAAATACGCACCGTACAGCAAAGAGCAAACCAGCAGAAAGCAGATGCCTCACCAACTTCAGCCGGCCACTCCGTCCAGCAGACCAACACTCCAAGTCGAAAATCGGAATCGCCTATTCTGCATCATGCGAGCGTGAGAACGTTGCCTCTTGCTTCTTCTTCCCGTCGAGGATTCGCAAGTTGGTAGCAGACTTCACACTCCCAGTTTCGCAGGTGCTGTTTTAGACTATCAGTCTGCCGATAGGGAGTACCGGAGTACGATTGATTGACCCATTTGACCGACCCAGATTTTAAAAAAAAAACTACAAGAAATGTGTCGGCCCACTGCAAATCACGTTTCCGAAACGTTTCCAGCTTCAGGCCCAAAAGCCCACGACCGCAGAAACGTTTCCCATCGTTTCCTAGCCGTTTCCTGCCGTTTCCCGGCGTTTCGCGTTTCCGAAACGTTTCCGGGACGGAAACCTCAGCCTGGTTGGCGTTTCCGTGCTTCCTAGGTTTTTACTTGAACTAAAAAAAATTAGGTATGGTCTGAGTTGGTCCCTTAAATGGTCTCGTAAATGTTTGATCTTTGTTTATTTTATAACTATCGAAATTTGGTCTAGTTTGAACTGGTCTGAAACTAAACTAAGTTCAAGTTAGAACATCCTTAGTCATCTGGGTTTAAAAAAGTAGTTTTCCCTGGACTGATGAGTTAACACACGTACACCTAAGGCTCTAATTAAGTTGGGCCTCTTAAAAAACATTATAAACAATCGTCAAACAGTGGCACTTCTGAAATGGCACTTATAGCACAGGCGATGGTGATGGGAGAAGGCAAGGTTCTGGCAATAACTCAGGTAATCCCAGGTATTGTTGACACCATAGCGATGTTTTGTAGTGAGGAGCCCCTAAAACGCCATTGGCGACAAATGGCAATCGCCAATTGCGCTATCGACTACCCTGCTTTAAGGAAATGAAAATATTGTTTTCTTCACTAAATACTACGTAGTTGAATAAAACTTTTTTTTAAAAAGCCACTTCTCTTTACCGGAACCACCAACTATTTCGATCGATTAAATCACTTTCTCAAGAGCACAAGCAAAGGCGAAAAGTGGGTAAAGTAATAAGTTTTTTGTCAATTTATTCAATTTGAAATGCATAATGCTATAAACAGTAGTTGGGGGGCTTACCGGGGGTGCAGGAAGTTTTTCCATATCCATCAACCAATCAGTCTGTACGCCGTCCGGATATTTCCCCCGGTAGTACTGGAAATACTTCATCCCATCAGTTTCTCTTAGGACCTTCCAGTATCCAATGCCTCCAACAACTTCCAAAGTTGGTAACTTGAAGAAACCATTTGAGTGTAAAGTGATAAAGTGCCATGTCTTCTCCGTAGGCTCACCAAATTCATCTGCAAAAAAGGATGCCACTTAGCTTATTTGATTGATTAGGAAAAAAATAGTGGATACTGCAAAAAGATAACCAGAAAGCTTCTCGGGGTCGATCTCGTAAATGTTCTTGAGTCGGGGAAATTGGGGCGAAAAAAATCTCGGATGAGGGTTGTTATAAACTTTAGCTATTCTTTTTGGGAAAGACCTATCAAATGCAGGCCAGCACTCGTCTGTCTTCAAGAGTACATCATCCTTGGAAATTCTATACAACACCGTTATCTCGTCAACGCCGTCCTCCCAAGCAGGAATTTTAGCCTGTGCCTCAGCCGTGGAAATCCTTGCCTCCGCATCAGCCCTCGCAATCCTTGCCTCCGCATCAGCCTTCGCTATTCCTGCCTCAGCCGTCGCTCTCCTTGCCTCCGCCTCAGCCATTGCTATCCTGACCAGTGAGTAGGAATTCGATTGAAAGGATCGTCAAAAACCTAGGTCGCCTGAATTCCGCTTTCTACAAATTATTATATGCTCCCTGCCCTCCACTTTTATTGTCTCATTTCCTACAGGGCCTCCTCGACGTGCCACCAAAATTGCTAGGCGCACCCACCAAGTTTTCCCAGCGGTGGACCGGTGGTATCAATAAGATCTGTCAATGGGCCGGGTCTAGACCCGGACGGGACCCGGACCCGGGTTTTTTTAACGGGTATGAGTCTATATTTTATTTCGTTTACGCTAACCCGGACCCGTTAGTATTTTATATAAACGGGTCGGATATGGTACACATGATTCTAACCCGTTAAGGACCCGTACCCGTTTAGACTTATTAATATATACTTCGTACAATATATAATGCCTACTCCTAATATAGTAATATAGGACTTTGTATTTCCATAATACATGCGTAGCTAAAAGCCTAAAATAAAGTGACCAGTATCTATAGTCAAACTAATTCAGTATTACCCTTACGGTAGTGGGCTTAGTATTTACAAAAACTTTTTAAAACTAGTGCTCAATAATCAATATCATACTCCAACTAACCCTTATGGACTTTATGGGCTCGGTAAGTCGGTAGGCAAAGCCAGTGACATAAATCCTAATATCTAACATATCCATGGCTGATTTTGAGATGGTCCTCCAGAAAGATGCAAGCTTAAAGCTTAGGATATTGTTGATTAAGCTTTGCTAGTTTGTGCAATTGCCCTATGTTTCATTTTTAGCGGATCTACCCGACCCAGATCCGAGACTCGTTGGGTCCGGGTCCGGGTCCAAAATTTCAGACCCGACGGGTAAACGGGTCCGGGTCTGCGTCTCTTGTTCACTTAGCGGGTCTGAGTCTGGTACACTATATTCCGTAGTATGTAATTAGGAAACAACTCCCTTATTGTTTTTTATTGCTTATTTAAAATATGTAATTATTTGAATTCTAAAGCACCTCCCTTAAAATAAAAATAAGTTTTAATCCCAGATAGCAGAATCTGAAGCTGGAGTGTTTGGGTGAAATTTCAGAAGCACTTCCGATGCTCTAATTTACTCCCAGAATCAGTTTTTTTAGAAGGTATGGGATACCAACTTCTCATAACTGATTCTGATTCTGCTTCTGTTTTAAAAAAGAAGCAGAAGCATAATTAGTTCCAAACTTTCTCAAAATAAATGTACGTGCAACTCACCATTCACAAAAATGGGGTAATAGAGGAACCAACATCATAAATATCATACCGACATACACCATGTGCTTCGTATAAATTTAGTGTTAGCCTCTTCGATATGAAGCGATTGAAATTACCACCCAAATCGAGTAGGTATATGGTACATCCAGCTGTACGGTGAGTACCGTACAGCCGGCCCAGTAACAAGCCCAAGGGAAAAATAGCAAAATAATTTGGTGGAATTTTTGCAACTAATGTGAAAATGCGGTTTCTGTTAAATGAGCATTAGTGTACTAATAATGAGCAATAGTACAATTTTAATGAGTATTAAGTGTCTGATAATGAGTACCATGTTATTACAAGAAAGTTGATATCACAACAAAAAAAACGGTGACATTTTCGTAATTTCAGTGAAAATCTCGGTTTTTGTTAGATGAGAATTAGCACACAACTAATGAGCATCAAACGTATTCTACTGAGCATTAAGAGTCCAATAATGAGTATTGTGAATCAACTTCATATATCGTAATTGACTTTCTTTTTCTTATTTTTTCTTTTATAAAAACTCATTATATTATATCTATAACCAATTCCTATGAATTTTAATATACGAATATAATGTAATATGGTACTTTTGGAATATGTATTGTTATGACATTTTTAAAATGAGCATAATAGAAGTACCAATTGAGCACACGTAATTTACAAAATGAGCATTAATATGAAAGTTATAAGTTTTTTAGTTGAGCATTGAGACATTTTTATTGAACTCAAACATCCTCTATTGAGTATTATAAAAATGCTCAATGTAGTGCTCCCGCAACTATAATCAACTTCTATGTAAACTTAATGTAATATAGTGCTTTTGGAATATGCATTGACATGACATTTTAAAATGAGCAAAACAACAGTACCAAATGAGTATACATAACTTACCATATGAGAAACGATTCAAAATTACTTCTTCCCGTGGAGAAGTAAAATGATGAAAGCAGTTAGGCAGAAGGTCAAGAAGTGGTCGGATATTTCCAGAGTGATGGGCCTAACTGCCGATGGAGAAAGAACTTTAGAAGATAAGGCGAAACACGGAAATAGAGTTACGAAAATGTCCCCAAAGTTTAGGTAGGATAATACTTAGTTCATTTAATTAAATTTCGATTTGGTTATTAATTATTAAGAGCAGGTGTGCTAGGCCATAACTATTTTGGGCTAATTTTGAAGTACAAAGAGTTGTATTTTTTTTTTTATATATATTACAAATAGTTGTTTTGTTGATCTGTTATTGGTAACCAACTGAAACAGAAGTTTACAAATCAACTAATCAAGTAATAATCGAATAATCAATGGATTAATAAATGTGACAATCGATAACCAAAACCAATGTTTTGATTTAATTCGGTTATGTCGATTTATTCGGTAATTTGATCACCCTATGGCCTATACCTTAGAGCATCTCCAATGCTTCACTTTCCACATTAAAAAATGAACGCCACATAATGCCGTATTAAAAAACCTCCTCCAATGTTGTCTTTATGAGGTGCTGTTGTGTGTACGTGTTAGTGAAAGTGTCGAGTCCACTTTCTGGTTTTCAAAAGCTATTTACAAAGATGAGTCAGCATTTTTCGTTAAAACTGAAAATGAGTGGTCCGCATTTCTTGAAGAGCCGGCAAATAGGGATATCATTTTTATCCATTTTAGTGGCTTAGGCAGTTGTTAAAGTTTTCTATCTACGAAACTTCAGTCTTTTAAATTGCATTGGAGAAGATTTTAAACTTTCAATTTATAATACTTCCACTTTAATCTTATGTGGCTTGACATTCCATACATTTTTTGTCATGTGTCAATTATTTTTCAATGTTGAAAGTGGAGCATTAGAGATGCTCTTAGAAACAAAAGGAAATATGATGAGTATGTGGACGAATGGCTGTTTTTTTCGATAGGAAGGTAAATTATATAAAATAAAGAAGATAATTAAAATATACAAGGGACATACCCCTTCTCAACTGATGCATAGACAAGCCTATGTTCAGCAAAACTACCAATAAATCACAGAGCAAAAATGTCCAAAGTTCATGTGTTAGAAATCAATCATGTTCGTGGGATATAGTCTAAACAAAACCCGATATATAAGTAGTCTAATCTGAACCAAAAGGCCTTCAATAGTAACTGTTTTTTGAGCAAAAATATGATCATTCCTAGCTTTCCAAATAGAGTAAACAGCACAACAAAGAAATAGCCGGATCACCTTACTTCTCATCCTTGTACCTCTATAGTATTTGATGCACATCTCTCTTGAATTTCAGCCACTTTTGTATCTCCAACCATGCTGCTCCAGTTAAAGAACAAATGATTAACAGACTCCATGTGATTCTTTAGAAAAGCAACATGTTCTATCCATGTCAATATACAAAAGGTTATCAGATGTAGCTAGTCTGTTTCCAAGTCCCAACCAAATAATAAAAGAAAATTTTGGTATCAGATAACCTGACTGGTATCATTGGTATCAGAGAATATATGTTAGATTCCTGTAGAATATCTAACCGATATACAGAAAAGAGTTCTAGAACTCAAAGGCAACTCTTATTCAACAATAGGCAACAATGGCCGATTGGCCTTAGGCAACCACTAGCATACAGTTTACAATTCAATATCAGCCTACTCTTCTTATCATCTTTCTTCTATTTATTTATAGACCTACAGCTCACCCAACTATAGTTAATAGCTAATAACAGAAACGCTATTAACCAACTATTCTATTTATTATTATTTCTAAGTAGGTCCCTAACAATAATCCTTCCAAATTTGTTTCAAATGGATGTTTAAGGGAGTGTTTGCAAGTGCTTCTGCTTAAAAAAAAGCACTTTTGGAGATGTAAGGAAAAAATGATTAGTAGTAAAAGTTGATAGTGTTTGAGAAAAAAGTGATTTTGAAAAGTAAAAGTTGGTAGTGTTTGGTAAAATAAGTGCTTTTTGTGTAATAGAAAAGGGAAAAGCACTTTTTACACGCAAGCCGAGAAAAAGTAAAAATTGGTAGTGTTTGGTAAATAAGTGCTTTTTAAAGCCAAAAACTGAGAAGTGTTTTTTTTTAAGCAGTTGCAAACACTCCCTAATTGGTCATCAATCACAACCTTTCCAAATGGAAACAAGAATAACAATGAAAGATGGAATTACCCGGAAAACACAGGAAATAACAACTTGTTTAGACCCCAGGAAGTAGAACAAAAATGTCAAAAAAAAAGCATCAGTTTGAACTCTATGTACCCAATACAGCTGAAGCAAAAAATGGTTTGATATCTAGTCAACCTCATGGAACCCCAAGCTTCAAAACCAAATGTAGATGTATTTTGAGGTTGTTACTAAACAATTAACAGAAACTAAACGAATTCTCGACTGTATGTGAGGGGACAACAATTCAAAACCATTTATGAATACTTTAAAACATTCCAAGAGAGATCAACGGAGTCGGGGCTTTTAATGCAAAATCAAGGCATACTATGATAGATTTGCTCATATTCTGCATTGCACAGTTTTAGGGTATTTGTTTGGCTTACTTTTTCCACAAGATACCTTTTTTTGTCAGTCCGCAAGATTGTTAAGTGCGTGAATTAGAGATCTCGTCCAAGGACGTGAACGGGATTTACCACCGGTAAAAGATGATATTCCTGGAGCTATTTTTAATTGATGAGGAATAGATGAACTGAAATAGAGGCTTAATAGATAATTATCGATCTCCGACCTAGTCAAGAGATCTCAAGATTAATTAACCAAAAAGCTGTTTATTAAAGTGGCTGGGATCCCCTTAAATAGATAAAGGGTTTCCTAAAACAAATAGGAAACTAAGTTGCTAAAGGGTTTCCTAAAACAATTAGGAAACTAAGTTGCTATTCTAATATAACTTAAATAAATGAATACTAATTCAAGTAGGACTAATTAAATACTAATATTAATCTGAC